AGGGGTGATAGAGGCCTAGTCTGTTCCCCAAACCTATTCTTACTGAATAAAATATAAAAAGACCCCTTTTACTTACCCCTGTAAACATCTAGATAACGTAGTAAAATTTGGTCGTTTTATCATGGCGTGAAGTTCTTGTGATAATTTTAAAGCCGCAGCTCGTATTAACCGTGTAGACTTTTTACCAATCCTGTTAATACAAATAAAAATAAATACACAGGGCTAATTTTCTTTTTCAATTGGGGATAGGTGTAATTTTCCTGGTTCTCCAATCTCCCATTCATTTATAGTGAATAAAATATCATTTTACAGGAAATGAAATGAAATGGGGTTTAACGTTCTACTGTTCTGCTCCGAACTGGGCTAATGAAGATAGGTATATGCCATACAGTGTGCTATGGGGGGAATCCAACTGTCAAGGGATCTTTTTTACGGGCAAGCCAATGTGTACACGGAACCTCGGTTTTTCGTACCATTCAAACGACTAGACAGCTGTCCTTGTCAGGTCCTCCGTCCTGCATCATTGACAAGGGGGAACCACGCAGGAAAATCTGGATGAACTTTCCTGGCCAATGCAGGGATCGAACACCATTTAGCCACCGTGACCCTCTATTATTTTACACAAAAAGGCATGATAATTTAGGGCCAAAAATGATGATGCAATAGAAACCATGTGTCTTGACAAATGCACATATTGAAAAGAAATCAACAAGTTAAGACCCTAGGCCCTTGTAAGTTGTATACCAATTCGTTTCCATGGAAACACAAAAGTTATTTAATTCAAGAAATTTATAATAAATAGGTTAATGCTTGTACACATTTCAACATTTCCTTCCCTTAACGTCATTCGGTGCTGGATAATAAAGAATAAAATCTTGATTGAAGAGTGGACAGAGCTCGTTTCAACATATCCTTCCCTTAACGTCATAAAGAGCTGGATAATAAAGAATAAAGACTTAACGTACCAGACAAATATATCAGTTATACAGTCTAATATATAAACACAACGTGAATCTAATAACGACTGTACTAATCGGTTGTTTGGTATCTCAACTGTAAGAAAACAAAAGGAAATTTAGACAATTCTTCGTTATAAATTAGAAACTTGTAGAAAAAAAAACAACTCTATTTATGTAAACAAATTCAAGCTGATTAAAATACAGATCTATATTTTGTTTCGTTTTATAAATTTTCGAAGACTAGTTGTTGGGGTCATAAGAGCGGCTTTTGACCCTATGATGTCAGAATTTGATTAACCAATCAGCATTGATTTTTCTAGTAAGTTACGCACAGTTCCGTGCACCTCATGCCAAAAACTCGTCGTAACAGACCGTTTCATTGGCTAATCCATCACATCAATAGGAACGCGAGTTAAATAACAACTCTTCCAAATCCAAGTGTAGTAAGGACAAGTAAAACAAAATTTTGAAACGAAATAGGATCTGTGTTTTAACCAGATTGAGCAACCAGTTACAAATTTACATAAAATTGTTTGCCTTATTTTAACTAAAATATAGCCCTTTATAAAACTTTTGTTGTTTTAATGTATCAAATACATCTATAATAAACTATATGAAAAGTTTTGTGTTTCTGGAACAAAGATATTTCTCATACACAGTGATTGAAAGTTGAAAAAATTCTTAACTAAGTCCAAGAATGCTTTGTGAACTCGTGGGTCAAATGTTCTACAAATGATACAAACGCCACCAATACACTAAATCGAAATCAATCCAAGCCAGCATGGTTATTTAACACAAATATTTTGGTTCTGTTTTTTTAATTAAAAAGTCACAAAATTGGAGTACATTTTAATCATGAATTAAGAAAAAAAAATTGGATAAAGTGCGAAATATTTTAACGACACTTAGTATTCTTAAAATATTTTAATGTACATGGGTTTTTTCCCATTTATGTAGATCTAATTTGACAAGAACGTACCTTGTGGTAGATTAAGATACCCTTTACCCAGCTCCACTTTATAAAGTCGTGGATCAGCTACCTTTATATTTGTTATCGGACTGATTTTAACTTCCATATCTTTGGGTGGACCGTTTAGAGCACGCCAGAAATCTGGTAGTTCATCTTTCTGGGCCACGCTAATTATTTCGGCTTTACCTTTACGTTCATTTTTATTGATTTTCTCAGCTATTAACCTGAAATACATCATATAATGTCAGATATTTACTGTTTTCGTTCAGTGTGCAATGAGAGAAATTTTGCCGAGACAGCGGAGCTACAGTCAACTCTTATATTGAATTCCAACTGCCAAGGGATCTTTTCTCACTGTTTACAAGTTTTTAAATCAAAATCTGATAAGATTGGTGAGGTTACCTTGTCTTTGTTCTGGTGACTCCTTTAGCTAATTTTCCCGTCCATATATAGATTTTCTCTCCAATATCCACTAAAAATACATGTCGACAATCTAACGATCCTGCATCTACTGGTACCTGTCGAATATAAGAAGTTAAATACATGTCGACAATCTAACGATCCCGCATCTACTGGTACCTGTTGAATATAAGGAATTAAATACATGTCGACAATCTAAAGATCCGTCATCTGCTGGCACCTGTCATATATAAGGAATTATAATCTAAACGGAACTTTAATCATAGAAAGTAGAAATAGCATATTCATAAAAAACATTCCATATTTGTTTCATAGCAACTGTACTTAAAGAGATCTTCTGCCTTTGAGGTCTTCATCAAAATGAAACGAAATGGCGCATACAAATGTAAATCAGTTTATATACATTCATATTACATTATTATATGTGTTGCAATCCATCTCTGTCCATTTCTAGGTCCCAAATATTAGCGATTTAGCTCCTTTAATTTTGGAAAGATATCAAAAGTTTTATGAGAAAATGATTCAAATGTTGTTTGTTATTTGACTTACTCGCTCCAAATGGACATATTTAGTTCCAGTGGCTCTGTATAATCTTTGTTCATATTCCTGTAATTGTAAAAAGGTTTAATGCTACTACTTACACTCAACACAAACTATTTCATTTTGGGACTAACATATGGTTCAATTATATTTCAATAATTCGTTTGCGCGTAGGACTCTTTATCAGTGGGAGGAAGCTGGAGGACCCGGAGAAAACCCAATAGACAGATTTAATTAGCTCTTACATAATTCAGCTTTCACAATAAGTAAGTAGAACAAAATTTTGTTTAATATAACACAGGACTGGTGGTAAAGAATTCTGTTGGGATACATATGTAGGGAAAGAATCGCGTCATGTTATTTATATCTATAAACAACATGTCGGCACATTCCCTGAGTTGATAATCTAGGTGCCTCTACTTATCTAATGATAAAAACTATTACCAATAGACATAATTAACACCAAATATAAACTGAAGACAAGATTTACTCAAACTGTCCGAGTCATGGAAGTACTTTAAGATTATGCCAAAATTGGAGATCGTTTGGAGAGATTATGCTAGTTGGGGAGATGAAGCTGGTTGGGAAGATCAAGCTGGTTCAAGCTGGTTGGAGACCAAGCTGGTTGGGGAAATCTAGCCAGTTTTGATTTTCATTTTCACATGGAAAATTCATCTATCAGGAACTCTGCATTAGGATTAGGAATGTGGAAATTTCCAAATTCCCCATTGGACTTGAAAAGGGACACAGAGAGAGAAATAGGGTTTAACGTCCACTTGACACAAACTAGGTCATTTTGAGACTAACACATGGTTCAATTTTATTTCAATAATTCGATTGCGCGTAGGGGTCTTTAACAGTGGGAGGAAACTGGAGGACCCGGAGAAAACCCACGAGGTTGGACAGGCGAACCTACTCCTTGTCACGTACAACCGGGGAATCGAAACCTTGCCAGTTGACTCCATGACAGACCTTATGATACAGCGTGCATGTGCTAACCATTCGGCCATCGTACCCCCCCACTGGAAAATGGACTCTGCCTAGTCCTAGACTTGCTTACCACATCCTCCACTGTATAAAATCCACTAGACGTTCTACCACCTTCAATATAAGATACTCCATTAGGAAACATGTCTAAAAAATCATCGTCTTCATCATTCATTTCTTCTCGTATAGTACGACATTCTGCTCCAAGTAGATTCCTCAAATTTACTGCATGGATAGCAGCACATGCCTTCTTATCTAACTGAAATTGTTAATCATATAATAATAAAAACAAGCCAATAGTGAGGCTGATATCCCCTGTATCAATACCAAACTAAAAATAAACCAGCGGTTGCTAGGCAAAATACACCCGCATTTTGCAAGAGATGGATAGAGAACAAGCTATTATGATTTTTCGTACAATCAGAGGCCATAATCCAAAAAGTTATGGTCTGAAATGCGCGAATATCGCAAGGGACTGAGATCTTTGGGATATAAAGATACATTTTAAATCTCATCAAAAGCGGACAAAGATTGTGACGTCTATAGGGTCTACAACCTTCGTATTACATCTTTATACACAATTTGCGTACATGGAGTGGCCATTTTGTCAGGAGGTTTCATTTCGATTTTCACGAAATTCAAACTCAACCTTCATTATGGTGGAACGGTGACATATTTAAACATTTTTAAAATCGGATAAAAATTGTGGCATCCAAAGAACTGAGATCTTTGGGATATTGACATATTATTTTAAGTTACATCAAAATCGGACAAAAATTGTGACCTTGTTATTATATACTTTTACACAATTTGCGTCCAAGGAGTGGCCATTTTGTCGAACAAGGTAAATTTATCAGTAGTAACTTACAGAAGCGTGTTCACCAATCCAATACCAAATCTTCCAGTTTAAACTCTGTGTATCGTCAATAAATGTCTTTAATATGATATAACAATCAGCTTCATAAAATTTACCAATCAACGCTGTAAATAAATACTAAGATAAAACAACCAACTTCATAATCTTGTTGTTTATTTATGATTTACATTGTCACTTTGTAAAGTGCCCCTGAACATGTTATATGAAATGGGGGCACTATAAATATGTTGTAATAATAATAATAATAAAATTTACCAATCAACGCTGTGGATAGACTATATTAAAATATGATATAACAACCATACTCCTTGCAGTGTTTTGTTTGATTATACCTAATCCCCCTAAACACTGCTTTAACGAAGGCAAATTTCTGTTCCAAATTATGACTGGTTAATGGTCCGTTTAACAACCAATAGCTAACTGCATTACAAAAGCATTACGCTTAAAACAGAGCTCCAAATTTGGACCAAATATGTTTAAATAATAATAACGTTACGTCATGACTCAAGACTTTATTATGCTCAATTAACCAGTGCATAGCAGAATATTGCAGAAAAACTAATCGAAAACAATGTAAACAATACTGTTTGGAGACAAACATACTTTCACCGTTTTTAATACCTTAAATCACTGTTCAAAGTTTTTGGGAAGACCCAGATTAAATAAAAGGCTGTACTTGGGATAAATTTGATTGAACGGAAGAATAGACAAACTCCCTCAAAAGCTCAAGTATCAGAAGCCAAGCGAGCAATGGCCAGAGAGGGATTTCTTGGACCATTGCTTCAGGAATATGTATAACAACCAGCTTCTTTACCAATTTACCAATCGATGCTAAAACAGGGGAGCTGGATGTCCGAATGGTTAGCATGTGCGCGTTGCATCATAAGGTCTGTCATTGTGTCAACTGGTGTGGTTTCGATTCCCGGGTTGTACGTGACAAGGAGTAGGGTCGCCTGTGCAACCTTGCAGGTTTTCTCTGGGTGCTCCGGTTTCCTCCCACTGCTAAAAACCCTTGTGCGCAAGTGAATTATTGAAATAAAATTAAACCATATGTTAGTCCCAAAATGACCTTGTTTGTGTCAAATGGAAGTTAAACCCCATTTCTCTCACTCTATAAACAAAATCATACTCTAGCCTACGATTTTTCAAATTACAAGGCTTCATAAATGATTATTCTTACCTTCTTCTACTTGCGTTGGAACAAAGTTCTCCATTTCCCAACAAGTTAGATCTAAAAATAAATAATTTATCAGGTATTATACACAAACAGTTTATCTAAATATAAGTAAGTTCAAATGACCCAAAAAAAAAAAAATCATTTTTTAGGGTCAAGGTATGAATTTCTCCCAATATAAGAATTTTTACAAGACAGTCTATAGCCTGGCGGCTCTTTTTTAGAATTTCATTTGCAAAGGGCTCATTAACAAAGAATACCAATTTGTAAATGTTACCCCAGTTTTAATCCATTGAAATTAAAATAGACATACTATTCATTATTCAGTCCACGAGTCTGAGATAAGGAGTGTCGTTTTACAACTGTTTACCCAACACGTAATCTGATTAAAATACAGATGTATATTTCGTTTCGTTTTTTTTTTCCTACTTTTGATGGTCTACACTACATGACTATCTGGCCAGTTGTATTGGAAGGTCGCATCAGGGGGTCATACAAGCAGCTTTTGACCCTATGATGTCAAACATTTAATTAACCAATCATCGTTGATGGTTCTAGAGGGATATCCACAACCGTACAGAACTAGTAAAGACAAGTAAAACAAGATTTTGAATCATAAAAAACAAAGAGAAATCGGATCTGTGTTTTATTCAGATTGTTCAACTACCAGACAGAAGGAACCCAATATTTTTCAATGATTCTTCACTAATTTTAACAATTTGCCAACAATGTTCGAAAATAAACATCAAATACAGAAACTTGCAGTACACGATACCGGAGTTGTAGTGAACTAAAGCTAACCTGGAATTTGTCCGACATCTTCATCAAATATCTCACTGTAATTCAAATGAGGTCTTTCCAGATTCTCGTTCCATTTCTTTGGTCTAATAAAATAATAATCAAGATTACAAAAAGAAACTGCAATAAATTTCAACTGTAACTGGTTCTTTTAAGTGTACACTTATCTTTACAATCCGGGGATCACGTGGCTAAGTAGGTAAGACGCTAGCTCGCTAGCCTGGAGGTCGGGTGTTCGATCCCTGCATTGTCCGAGAAAGTTCATCCAGATTTTCCGGCGTGGTTCTCCCTTGTCAGTGATGCAGGACGGAGGGGCTGACAAGGAAAGCTGTCTAGTCGTTCGGATGGGACGAAAAACCGAGGCCCCGTGTACACATTGGCGTGCACGTAAAAGATCCCTTGGCAGTTGGAATTCGATATAAGAGTAGGCCGTAGTGCCGCTGTCCGGGCAAATTTCCCTCATATGCCCGTCTTCATTAGCCCAGGTTAGGAGCAGAACAGTAGGACGTTAAACCCCATTTCATTTCATTTCATTTCTTTACAATCCCATCAGAACGACTAAATAATTTTTCTTGCTGGGCCGTCTGTCATGTGCAACTGACTAGGAGAAACAAGACTGGAAGATCCTGGAGAAATTTCTCCGAGATCGAACCTGGGAACTTCTTGTTAGTGAGCTATAGTGGCTCCCGAGAGAGAGAGAAATGTTGTTTAACGTCCACTCGACACAAACTAGGTCATTTTGGGACTAACATATGGTTCAATTTTATTTCAATAATTCGCTTACGCGTAGGGGGCTTTAGCAGTGGGAGGAAACCAGAGGACCCGCATAAAACCCTCATGGTTGGAAAGGCAACCCAACTTCTGGTCACGTATAACCGCCGGGGAATCGAAACCACATCAGTTGACTCAATGACAGACCTCACGATATACCGCCCACACGCTAACCCGATTTTGGTCATCCAAGATAATCTGGAAAAGCCGAAGATAAGGTCGGTTCACTTACTTGAGCTCTTCTTTCTTCTCTTCCTCATTCGTAGTTTCAGCTTTCTTTTTAGCCACGTCTCTCATACCCTGTAAAAAAAAGTAAGTGAACTGAGATGGGATTCAACGTCCTGCTTTTCTGCACCGACTGGGATAATGAAGATAGTCATACCAGTGTTGGGATTTCAAAATTTTTTCCGGCGGACATTTTACCGAAAATAAAGGGGCATAACTCTAAGCATTAGGATTCTTTGTTAACTCCTTAAGAGCTTCTCTTTCTTTTCTATTTTAGGCTACACAAAATAAATGTCTTGTTTCTCGGGCAACTGACAGCTGAAACTGTAGGGGGGGAGGGCGGTTTATTTTTTTTTTTATCTCATTTCTGGCTAGAGGATGGTGCAAAATAAAATTTGCCTATTGTTGAAAATTGTTGGGGCGGGAGGGGGCGGCCTTGTATTTTTTTTTTTTTTTTTAATGAGAAAGTCATTACTTGTCTACGGTTTTGCTTTCAGTTATATATTATACATACTTAGAACATAAATCCAAAAATCAAGTCTACTTAAACACTGAACACTGACTGAAAGGAAAATAATTTTCCATATTTAATTCACGTAATGTAGCTTACTAATGGTAATGGTGACAACCATAATTGAAATTGGGTTAAAATAAAATTCCGTACGACTATTAATAGCCGTCCATAATAACGACAATATTTTAAAGAGTAAGCCTCTGTCAGCATGTGTATCAAAAATAATCATCACGGTAAACGACACTTCGATCTAAATCTAGTATCGCTGGTTTATAATGATTGACCTAATTCCAACCAATGCATGTCACGTGTCATCGGGATTCGTGAAATGACTGTTTCTCAGGATATTTGGTGTGTTTCTCAGCATATTCGGTGTTCTATCTGGGGTTTATATCGAATGACTATTTAAATTTAACTAACAACTCGTCAGTAAAACCATCAAATGTGTAATCCAATTATTATTTTCCGGATTATCAAAACTACCGTTAAACGTGCTAATGACCCAGATTCTGACTAAGGTATGGTGACTATCATCGTATCGTATTCGTAGCCACAAGTTATAATAATTAACCTGTTCTACGATTCATTGTTTTATAAGTAGGATTTTTTCAAACATGGACCGACTGAAGCCGGCAATAATGAGCCGATTAAGATCGAATGATTGAAATACATTGCATTGTTGTCAATGACTTTCGGTGTTTAACACGAATCAAATTCTAGTTCACAAGGGGAGGTAATTAAAATCACGTGATACAAAAATGGAGGTTCTTTCGATATCAATAAAAAAGACCCGTAAATGAGCGTTTACATCTGAATCAGTTTAATACATTTAAATGGATATTCACGAATGGGGCATGTAGATACATGCGGCATATTTTTTTTATGACTTGCTTATCGATGTTCGGGCGGGCGTTACATATTTTTTATTTTTCATCAAGACTAATAAATAGGCCGCACGCGCAACCAATTTTGCGTGCGGGCGGTGCCCGAGAAACAACTTATTTTATTTGTGTTGCCTTACTATCATTGACTTTTGTCCTCTTTTGATTATTTTACTAGTGTATATGACGGTGGTCACATCGACTGCCGATTTTACTCATTAAATATTTTATGTTGAAATTTGATTAAAGTGAAAAGATAAATATTTGAATCGTTTTTTTAAGTATTTTCAGATTTCTAGAATCTGTAAATCTTCTATATCCATAGCATGTTTTCACGTTTATCTGTTTGCTTATTTTTGAATATTTGACAATTTTATTGAATTAATATTTGTAAATACAGTTCAAATTCCATTAGATTTAATTGATATCAAATAACGAACACAGAAAAATCTGTTGGAATAGCCTCCAGAAATTATTCAAATTTGTTGTGTGAACACTAGTAATACATGTAAAAGAGAGAGAGAGAGAAATGGGGTTTAACGTCCACTCGACACAAACTAGGTTATTCGTGACTAACATATGGTTCATTTTCATCTCAATAATTCGCTTGTGCATATGGGTCTTTGGCAGTGGGAGGAAAGTGGGGGACCCGGAAAAAACCCATGAGGTTGGACAGGCAACCCTACTCCTTGTCATGTACAACCAGGGAATCAAAACCACGCCAGTTGACTTAATGACAGATCTTATGATACAACGTGCTAAAGCTAACCATTCAGCCATCCAACCTCCCTAGTCATACATTTAAAGCCCCTCTTCGTTACCCTTTAATGAGTTTTCCGAAGTTATTCTTGACAGTTTCCATACCTTCAAAACTTTATCACTTTCTTTCTGTCCATCTCTTCTCTTACGTAATCTCAGTTTCCTAGCAACCGGATCTCCTTTATGAGCTAAAAATCAATCAAAATTAGAAATATCTTGAGTTAACGCCAGCTGACTCAATGATAGACCTTACGATTCAACATGCATGCGCTATCCATTCGGCCATCCAACCACCCCCTTACGTTTAGTTTGCAGTTACGTAATTCTTTTATGTATTGGAGTCAAGCCATGGGCTTCCTGTTTTCGTGTTCATTTTGAATTAATTAAAATTAATCATAACATTAAAAATGTTTGACAATAGACTTCAGACTCCTGGGAAAATAAATCTATGTGAAGTTGTAAATGTCAAAAACTAAACAGGAAGCCAACTTTATGATTTGTTGTCAAAAATTCTTCATTTAATACAATGTCCAGTAAGTGATGAAATGAAATGGTGTTTAACATCCTACTGTTCTGCTCCTACTGGGCTAATAAAGAAGGGCATACGCCATACAGTGTGCTATGATGGAAATTTTGCCCGAGCAGCGGCACTACGGCCTACTCTTATATTGAATTCCAACTGCCAAGGGATCTTTTATGTGCACGCCAATGTATACACGGGACCTTGGTTTTTCGTCCTATCCGAACGACTAGACAGCTGTCCTGTCAGGCCCTCCAATCTATACACAGGACCTCGGTTTTCCGTCCCATCCGAACGACATGACAGCTGTCCTTGTCAGCAGGAAGTGATACATATAAAATAACTTACGCGGAGTTTGTCCGGTAGATTCAACAGGAGCAGCACCAGCTAACTGTAGCTGATTATTTAGAGAAAAGTCGATATTGTAAAATGCCAGATCTTTTGTTAGTTCAACTGGTTTGGGTGGCATGACTAAATCAGGGTTATCTCGAACATCAAGAGTCTGAAATTATGATAAATATCAAAAGTTATAATAATAATAATGACTTTATTTGAGAAGGGTTGAAGATTAGGCTATAATAGCCTTTCTAACATCCTGCCCTTCATAGAAAATATATTACAAAAGATATAGACTGATGCATTAAATAACACACCACAATAGAGGAAAATATATACAAAATCACTTAAAAGATTAATCTAAGTATATGTGCGAGTTCATAAAACAGAAAGTTTGAATAAATAGATATATCAAATGTACAATATGTACATGAATATGCCCTGAGTTAAATATGGGATGGTATTCACAAAACACATCAGGACATGCAAGTAGAATTAAGTCTCGTGATCCCAATATTTCTGTTATTTTGAAACTAATCTGTAGTAAGTTTCAGTTCCCAATGGTTTTAAGTTTGCAATGCAAGGGGAGAATTTGGCCTGGACAACAGCATTTCTGCCTATTTTAAAGGGGCATTATGTAAGATTGATATAAAGAGCTGGCCGTTCTGGTTATAATATTTCAAAAATAAACAATGCAAAATGACTATATTGAAAATTTCATTCGAATTACTTTATTTTGAGCGAAGTTATCAATGGCTGTGCTTTATTTTGAGTGAATTTAACAATGGCTGTAGTTTTGACAAGATGTGTGCATTGATTGTACTAGTCATACGAGTCTAAGCCTCACTTTACCATTTTTAAATTAAATCATTAAATGGCTGAACAGTTCTAATCTACTTAAAATCGAAACCATCCAATGACATCAAGAGTTGATTATGGTTTTGTCATGTTAATTAATGTCTAATTAATAATTCATATAACACTTCAGGCCTAAAGAAAGACCTGCAATAGGCAGATTTAGCTCTTGCATAACATATGTTTAACTTGTTTAAGTTTCCTGATCACAGTATTGTTGTTCTTTCGAAAATAATCTGTGATTAATTTCAGTTCTATAGATTTAAGTGTGCAATGCAAGGGGAGAATTTCGCCTGAACAGTCTCGTGATCACTGTAACTTTGTTCTTTTGAAAATAATGTGCGGTTAATTTCAGTTCAATGGTTTTAAGTGTGCAATGCAAGAGGGAGAATTTTGCCTGGGCAGCACTGTGAATACATGGTTACACTATATATATCTGTACTAACCTCTAGTTCTGGTAGTAAATGTAATATATCAGGTAAAGTTATCAATCTATTTGAGTTTAATATTAACTTCTTTAATTTACCACATCTACAATAAAAATATTTAAATACTGTATACATCAATACATAACATTTACAAAATGGAGTCGTCATGTTCACATGCTTAAGACGTTGGCTCGTTAACCTGGATGTCCTGTGTTCAATCCTGGCGTAGGTCAAGAAAGTTCATCAGGATTTTCCGACGTAGTTCCCCTTTGTCAGTGATGCAGGACAGAGGGCCTGCCAATGGATCAAAGATATTTCCCATAAACAGTGATTGAGTGTTTAGAAAATTCTTAAGTTAAATCTAAGAATGCTTTGTGAACAAATAAACATTTTGAGGCAGTCTCTAGAGAGCTGTGCTTTCAGGCAGTTTCAAAAATGAGCTACGAAAGTGCTAATGGACACAAAAATACACTACGACAGTGTTAAAGGAAATGAAATGGGGTTTAACATCCTTCTGTTCTGCTCCTACTGGGCTAATGAAGATGGGCATATGCCAGACAATGTGCTATGAGGGAAATTTTGCCTGGGCAGTGGCACTATGGCCTACTCTTATATCGAATTCCAACTGTCAAGGGATCTTGTATGTGCACGCAAATGTATACACAGGACCTCGGTTTTTCGTACCATTCGAACGTCTATACAGTTGTCCTTGTCAGGTCCTCCCTCCTGCACCACTGACATGGGGAAACCATGTCAGAAAATCCTGATGAACTTTCTGGGCCAATGCAGGAATCGAACACACGACCTGCAGACTAGTGAGCCAGCGTCTTACCCACTTAGCCACCATTGCTAAAGTATTAACTATGTTACTACAAAGGTAGCCCAGATTTTAATCCAAACAAAATATTTAATGCATCATTTAACTAACCTGCACAATCCTTCTGGTATCATCTCTAGATTATTCCTGGCAGCACTGAAGATTTCCAGATTGTGAAGTTTTCCAATACTTGCAGGAATTCCTTCAAAATCTAACTGATTGACATTTACGTACAATTTCTTTAATGATGCCAGTTTGTGAAGACTCATCTGTAATGTGTGAAATAAAACATCTTTTATTGAAATTCAAAATACACATGTGACTTCATCCTTTGATGTTGGCGTACCATTATTTCAAATTATGGTACAGGCAATGTGCCAAGCGTACATTATTTATACTAGTTGAAATTTTGGATCCATGTGATGTATTTCAATGCAACGCACGTGCAAGTGTCTGTATTTTAAGTTGTTTAATGGTCTCGAGCTTAAGACATTGCATAATATATTGAAACAACAACTCGTGACTGACGTTCCTCATGTTGTTTCAATATATTACTTAATGTCTCACTCTCAACTATTAAGAGAGAAAGAGAGAGAGAGAGAGAGAGAGAGAGAGAGGGAGAAATGGGGTTTAAGGTCGACACAAACTAGGTCATTGTTGGACTAACATATGGTTTAATTTTATTTCTATAATTCGCTTGCGCGTAGGGGTCTTTAGCAGTGGGAGGAAACCGGAGGACCTGGAGAAAACCAAAGAGCTTGGACAGGTGACCCAACTCCATGTCACGTACAACCGGGGATTTGAAACCATGCCAGTTGACTCAATGACAGGCCTTATGATACAGCGCGCACATGCTAACCATTCGGCCATCAAACCACCCAAACCACACATATATCATGTACTTTAGAGAACATATTAATATTTATCGTCCAGACCTATGGTTAGGCGTGCAATCCGAGGAAGGAGAATTTTGTCCAGAAACTCTTCTTTAATATCCAACAGTCAAGGGTTCTTAAACGTGCACGTCGAATTACCAGGCCACACTTTGCTTTTCAGTCAGGCCACATTTAAGGCGGGAGGCTATCCGAAAATTTTTATTCTGAAATGTTAAAGCTATTGAATTGAAAATAGTACAAGTAGTTAGGAAATGTAATAAACAAGGGAAAACTAAGATTAAAAGAAAGTTGTTGCGAGGGTAACACATTTTTTGTGAAAAAATTATGAAAAACATAGGTACACCATATCTCTGGCACTAATAAAGATATCTTCGCCAAATTTGCAGGATATATAAACTAATATTTACCACAGAATCAGACAGAAAGCAATTTGAATTATCATTAATATTTCAAAAGTTAACAAAATATTACTCCAAAGACAAAATATTGTGGCGAGGCAAATGTTTCAAACACCATTTTCCAAGAAACTATAACAAGAGCATCGCTAACGCAGCAATATACGTCCACATTCCTGTTTTGTTTGATATGGTCCAGTTTGCATTGAGGGTCTGTGAAATAAAACTGGGTTGTAGGACTGCTATCAGTTTAACACTTCGTTCACATTAACAGAACACAATTTTTATTTTAAAACAATCGATGTCTTTATTCCAAAAGCATGACGTTTCGAATAGGTATGCAAAGTTTCAAAAGGATCTGTTAAGAATTGCGGTCTGTAGGCAAAACACAAGACACACAAACATTAGGCGTGGCTCTGTCCCAAGGGGTCGAGCATGCACCAAAAATAATAATAGAGGTCGGCCTTAGGATTAAGGAATAAGTATAAAAAGTAGCCTTAGGCTATAAGGAATAAGTATAAAAAAGTTTTCAAGATGATCGATTAAGAAATGCGGTCCGCAAGTGACACACAGACATAAAAAAAGAAAATGGGCGTAGCTCTGCCCCTGGGGGTTGGGTATTCACCACAAATAATAGGGATGTTCCTTAGGATAGAAGGAATATGTATGCTAGGTTTCAAGGTGATACGATAAGAAATGCGATCATCGTTAGGGTATAAGCAATTCATATGAAATTTTTTCAAGACGATTGATTAAGAATTGTGGCCTGTAGGTGACACACAGACATAAAAAGAAAAGAAAATGGGCGTGGTTCTGTCCCTAGGGGTAAAAAAACCAATATGGATCATCGTTAGGGTATCAATTCATATGAAAAAATTTCAAGACGATTGATTAAACATTGTGGCCTGTAGGCGACACACAGACATAAAAAAGAAAATGGGCGTGGCTTTGCCCCTGGGGGTTGGGCATGCAACCAAAACGATAGGGATGTTCCTTAGGGTACACAGAATAAGTATGCAAAGTTTCAAGATGATACGTTAAGAAATGTGGCCTGTAGACGACAAACAAACAAATACAAAAACTGGGCGTGGCTCTGCCCCGGGGAGGCGAGCATGCACCAAAAACAATAGGGGTCATCCTTAGGGTATAAGGAATAAGTATGTAAAGTTGATACGTTAAGAAATGCGGTCTGTAGATGACAAACAAATAAATAAATATAAGGAATGGGCGTGGTTCTGCCCCTGGGGATCGGGCATGCACCAAAAACAATAGGGATCATACTTAGGGTATAAGCAATTCATATGAAAAATTTTCAAGACGATTGATTAAGAATTGTGGCCTATAAGCGACACACAGACATAAAAAGAAAAGAAAATGGGCGTGGCTCTGCCCCTGGGGTCGGGCATGCACCCCAAACGATAGGGATGTTCCTTGGGGTACAAAGAATAAGTATGCATAGTTTCAAGATGATACGTTAAGAAATGCGGTCTGTAGATGACAAACAAATAAATAAATATAAGGAATGGGCGTGGCTCTGCCCCTGGGGGTCGGGCATGCACCAAAAACAATAGGGATCTTCCTTGGGGTATAAGGAATAAGTATACCAAGTTTGAAGAAAATCCAGTAAGAATTGCGCCCTGTAGGCGACACAAAGACACACGAAAAGAAAATGGGAAATGGGCGTGGCTCTGCCCCTGGGGGTTGGGCATGTACCCCAAACGATAGGGATGTTCCTTAGGGTACAAAGAATGTGTATGCAAGATTATAAGTTAAGAAATGTGGCCTGTAGACGACAAACAAACAAATACTAGAAATGGGCGTGGCTCTGCCCCTGGGGGTCGGGCATGCACCAAAAACAATAGGGATCTTCCTTGGGGTATAAGGAATAAGTATACCAAGTTTGAAGAAAATCCAGTAAGAATTGCGCCCTGTAGGCGACACAAAGACACACGAAAAGAAAATGGGCGTGGCTCTGCCCCTGGGGGTTGGGCATGCACCCCAAACGATAGGGATGTTCCTTAGGGTACAAAGAATGTGTATGCAAAGTTTCAAGATTATTAGTTAAGAAATGTGGCCTGTAGACGACAAACAAACAAATACTAGAAATGGGCGTGGCTCTGCCCCGGGGGGTCGGGCATGCACCAAAAACAATAGGGATCTTCCTTGGGGTATAAGGAATAAGTATACCAAGTTTGAAGAAAATCCATGAAGAATTGCGCCCTGTAGGCGAACCACAGACACACACACACACACACACACACACACACACACACATACATACATACACACACACACACACACAGACAGGGGCGACGGCATAATACGTTCACATTATGAATGTGGACGTATAAAAATTATAGAGAAAAACTGTCTGGTTTTGGGGTTATTATTAAAGAATAAGCAGTCCGAAAATGAGACATTTATCTTTATTAGTGCCAGAGATATGGTGTACCTACGTTTTTCATACTTTTTCCAAAACAATGTGTTACCCTGACAACAACTTTTTTTTCCTTATTTTTAATGCTAGTTTTCCCTTGTTTATTACATTTCCTAACTACTTGTGCCATCTTCAATTCGCCAGCTTTAGAATTTCAGAAAGTATTTTTTGGGTAGCCTCACCATTTAAGATCTACATGTTTTACATGGTTTTTATATCTTTCATTTTTTTAAAATATAAAATCAATATGAAATGAAACCAGTAATGGTAACTTACAGGCAGTGATTTGATATTATTTCTTGAAAGGTTTAAAGTTTCTAGATTAACCCACACGTCTGAAAAATAAAATACAAATTATCACATGATACTGCTGGAGTGTAATCAGAGAGAGACAGAGAGAGAGAGAGAAATGGGGTTTATCATCCACTTGACCAAAACACAGTTCAATTTTATTTCAATAATTTGTTTGCGAGTTGCAGTCTTTAGCAGTGGGAGGAATCCGAAACACCCAGAGTAAACCTACGAGGTTGGACTTGTCATGTACGAATTGGAAATTGAAACCATGTCACTAAACCATTTGCCCACCCCCTTCCCCACTAGATGACAGGCAGTTAGACAGCAATTACACAAACTAGATCATTTTGGGACTAAGATACGGTTCAAATTTGTTTCAATAATTTCTTTTCGACCTTTAGCAGTGCCGGAAACTGAAGAATCCGGAAAAAAATACGAGATTGGATTGGCAACCCTATTCCTTGTCATGTACAAGTGAGCAATTAAAACCATGCCACTAAACCATTCCCACACGCCCCACACCCCACCCAAGAAGACAGCTAGAAAAACAATGTTTCCAGACCTAGTAAATATAACTTACCAATCATAAGTGAGAGTTCTGATATCTGATTGTTAGAAAGATTTAATCGTTTTAATGACGACAATTTGTAAAGTGGTTCTGGAACACGAGGAAGATCGTTATGAGAAAAATCCACATCTGAAAAAATATAAAATAAAAAATATGAATCAGTCGAATCAGACTCAAGGTGCAGTGATGTTGGAGTCGATTTGATGTCCTGTGCCTTGTACTCCCATGTATTGTATTAGTGGATTCATGAATAAATATGGGCCATGTAAGTCCAACAAATGAAATGGGGTTTAACGTCCAACTTTCTTGCACCAACCGAGCTAATGAAGATGGGCATATGCCATGCAGTGTGCTATGAGGAAAAATTTCATGGACAGTCGTAACAAATGTGTATACGGGATCCAGTTTATCGCTTATTTCCATAATTTGCTAGCGTGTAGGAGTCTTTAGCAGTGGGAGGAAACCGGAGGACCCAGAGAAAACCCACAAGGTTGGACAAACGACCATACTCCTTGTCACGGACAACCTGGGAATCGAAACCACGTCAGTTGACTCGACAAACCTTATGATACAACACGCTAACAATTTGCCACACCCTTTTCTGGTGACAGAATAAAAGAAGTGATACTAGATGTTATAAGACAAACCTTGTAGATATGTAAGAGCTTCAAGTCCTATAGGTATATTAGATATAGATCTCTGTGTGTTTCTCATGTGTAATGTCTGGAGGGCGCTCAATGCTGGAATTTGTCTATAAAAGTTAAAATTGAAATCAATCAAATAAATATTCTATGTTCCATTGATATAAATCTAAGAATATAGAAGGATGCATCTTAAATATGATATTTCTATTTTTCCTGGAACATAATCTGACATTTCAACATACACTTTATGTGCACATTTTCCTAAACTACCCAATAATACAGTTACAAAAACTTAGAAAACCTTTGAAATTTTAGTTTAGGATCGAAAAATACAGTAAAAAAATTTAATTTTGGTCCAAACCGAATGTGGTTTAATGGGCAATAGCGAGAAAATAAAATAAAATGGCGTTTAACGTCCTACTGTTCTGCTCCGACTGAGCTGATGAAGACGGGCATACACCATACAGTGTGCTATGAGGGTCATTTTGTCCGGGCAGTGGCACTATGGCCTACTACAATATGGAATTCCAACTGCCAAGGGATTTTTTACATTCATGACAAAGTATACATGGGACCTCTGTTTTTAAACCCATCCGAACAACTAGACAGCTGTCCTTGTCAGGCCCTCCGTCCTGCACCACTGACAAGGGGAAACCACGTCATAAAAGTCAAGAGTAAGACATTAAGTAATATACTGATACTGCACGAGGGCATTAGCCCTGAGTGTTGTTTCAATATATTATGCAATGTCTTGCTCGAAATCATTAAACAACTTACAATACAAATACACTATTCAGTATGTGCATTTCAATAAAATCATCACACAAGTCCAATATTTCATATATAAATAAAGTGCGGTTGGTATGTTGCCAGTACCAATATTTGAAATAAAGGTACGCCAACATCAAAGGATGACGTCACATCTTTATTTTAAAAGAATATAATACCTGAGTTGTGCATGTATTAATGGATTGTTGTTTAATATCAGAGTTCGTAAATCTGTTAATCTTCTCATCTGTGGTGGTAATGTTTCTGAAATAATTTTTTTTTTTTTAAAAATCAACTTTTTATTCATTAAATGGGCATTATGGGAAATTAGATAAAGAGTTGTCAGTTCTCGCTATAATAGTTGAAAAATAAATAATGAAAAGAGAATATGCTGAAAATTTCAGTCAACTTGCTTCTCTTTGAACCAAAATATTAGTGATTCAATTTTAGGCTAGCCCTGATCGTCATTACTACCGCTGTTACGATAATACGATTATCCATTTTTGTGGTTGATCATCAATGGATGTTAAACGGCACATCAGATTCAAATCTAATTAAAATCGGACCCATCAGATTCTTACCTAGACAGTTGTTACTCATATCAACAAAAACTAAATCTGTTAGATTAATGAACAGTTGATTAGGTATCATTTCAATTCTGAAAATAAATAATAAAAAAAAAGATTAAATTTTTCAATTGATAGATTGCAGTCTAATAGTGATTAACTGGAATTCTAATTTTTACTATTGAATATTCTAAACCATTATTCAAATGCTATATGAATAATCAATTCAGTTGAAATAATCAAAGTTTGCATTGCTTTTAGTGCTTTTTCAGATTCAAGAAATTTAGATTTTTCAAAATCAATATATATTCCATCTTTTTTCATTTTTGACTGTTTGTTGAATGGATATTAGTAAATATTTCATAGACAAAAAATTGCATTAGTTTTATTTTTATTGACATTGTATACTAATACCAAATCAGTTTTGAAAACATATTGGAATGTGAATATTGGAATATTTGTGTAATCACTACATTCTGAAAATCTCTAAATTTATTTAATGTTTTCAAGAAATAAAACCAATATTTGAAATAGAATAAAGACAAATAAACGACTTATGCAAGATAAATTTAGGCTTTGTCTTGAGCATGAAATAGATTTATTCCAAATATTCTGCACCATTCGCACATGTCATAACAGCAAAGAAATGGAATTTAATGCTTTGACAGAACAATACTCAGGTTATTTTGAGACTAACATATTGTCATTTGTTATCTTGCTATTCTTAAGTACTGAAGACAAAATATGCTAAACTTGGACTGACTGCCCAAATTTTGAGAGGGGGGGGGGGGGGGGTAACATCCTCTTGACACAAACCAGGTCATTTCGGGACTAACATATGGTTCAATTTTAGCAGTGGGAGGAAACCGGGGGACCCGGAGAAAACCCCACAAGGTTGGATAGGCAACCCTACACCTTGTCACATACAACCGGGCAATCGAAACCACGCCAGTTGACTCAATGACAGACCTTATGATACAACGCACACGCGCTAACAACCCCCTCTCAAATTTTGAAGTTAAACCCTTGATCTTGCAGATCATGGTCCATCGTGTTGGTTAAATGCACAAATACTGTCGCCCTCAAATTTATAGGCTACTTATATTCAATCACCCAATACAAACATGTAGAAATACTCACTGATTATGACTCAGATTTAAAACAAGAACTGATTTAGCATTCTCTAATTGTGGTGGAACATCAGTTAATTCATTGTGACTCAAATCCTATAAAACAAAATAGACAGAAAATAAGAAATACATGTTTATACACCTTCAGTACCAAACTTCTTCTTTCTATCAATATTTATTGTGCAAGAATAAGAAACAAATTATTTTGAAATGATCTTTTTCAATGAATTTATATTAGCTTTGTACTTTTTTTTTTTGATCAATGTTGTTTCATTTATCTGGGAAATATCTCTTTAATTCGTTTAGATATTTTGTCATATCTGTCGAGGAAGTTTTTGTTCAGAGACGCATATTTCTCTGTCGTCACAATGCAGGTCAATCACTGAATCAATTTTATCTTAGAACATTTTTAACGGAGTTCTTGGATATTAGATATCTGTTCAAGAAAAATTGCTGCGAACAGCCTTACTTGGAATGAAATTCCAAATTAGTGAATTATTTTCACAGAAAAGCAGGATGTTAAAAAAAAAAACATTTGGCATTTCATTCCAGGAATATTCCTTGCACAATTCTCAATTAACGTTTATTTCACAAAAGAAATCTAGTAAAAATTCAACATTTTGAATTTTGAAATTGGTATTTAAAGAAAAATGCTTGTTTTTGCCAAAAAACCTTTGAATAGTCCTCTATACTTTGTAACGTCTTGGAATACACCTTAATACAAAATTAAATTTTACATGAACCAGAATTGCAAGTCTATATATAACTGAAATGAGGTTTAACGTCCTACTGTTTAACACCGACTGGGATAATGAAGATGGGTATACGTCACACAGTGTGGCGAGTGTGCTATAAGAGAAGTTTGATGGAAAGCGGCACTACGGCCTACTCTTATATCAAATTCCAATTTTACATGCACGCCAATGTGTACACAGGACCTCAGTTTTTTGTCCCATCCGAACAACTATATGTTATCCCTGGCTAGGCCCTCCATTCAGCACAGTTGACGAGCAGGAACTATGCCAAAAAATCCCCATGAACTTTCTGGTCAACAAAAGGGATTGAACAAGGGACCTCCCGGTTAGCAAACAAACATCCTACCCACTGAGCCACCACAGATAATAAATATACTTACCACAACAGATAATTCTGATAGATCAAAGAGTTCCGCAGGTACTCCATTGTCAGTTATCTTATTATATCGACAGTTTAATTTAGACAACGCTGGCAGATTTGGTAGAAATGAACCCAGTGTAGAAATAGAATTATTCTTAATGGTTAAATCTTCCTAAAAAAATACAAATAATCAAAAACATATAAAAATCATTGAATTTGGTTGGGGATCATTTCGGAATCTGTCCCGTCCCCAAATCTTGCCTAGCATTACATAATACATGTACGTTCCAATGCTTATATTTAAACTAGTTAAAAAACCAAGAGATTTTAAGACAGGATAGTGTTGCGTTCATAAGTACTATAAGCCAAACCAGTCTAACTATTTTGACCATGTTAATTACGCATAGGCATGTGTCCTCATTTTTCCAGGATGATAGCTTACTGTGTGTGCCCAAAGCAAGCTGGAGCCAGTGATTTTAAGCCAGGTACAGGTTTGGAAGATGAGACAGCTTTTCAGAAAAGTTCTCTTGACAAGACTGGAAATAAGGCACCTGTCACAGACAATGTCAGACACAGATTCAGACTTTGTCAGGCACTAAACCTCTAGTGTCTGTCATTTTGTCCGGCATTGAATTGTCTTTTTTATTTATATTATTAATACATGTCCGGCACTAAGTTGAAAATGTCAAGTGCTATTTCATTAGTGCCTGACATTTTGTCAGGTATATCTAAAACCGTTATTTGCAGGCCTGCGTCTTGAAGACAGTTATAGAGATGGGTTATTAAAGTAGTTTATTTGCCTCACCATTATGTTCAGTTGCACAAGTTAATCTGGTTTAACGATTACCAGGGATTTTAAGCCAGCTTAACTTGCTCGTCTGAATGGGCTACACATGAGTGGCAAAAACTTTTTGTGCTTATTAGTCTTGATTGCTAACGATAAAAGCCTACTTGTGACAGGCTTAACTCCATAGACTAGGTATGTGTTCATAGTGCTACAAAAAGTCTGGATAAAAAAACAATTCATGTTGCACTCTCAATGTAATGTATTAAAAAAAATGCCAGTTTGATGGAATTTCACTCTCGTTATCTAAATCAGTATAAAGAAACATACATGTAAGTATTGTGAAGTGTAAATGCATACATCTTTATTTTGTATACAGAATTATTATGGAGACAAAGAGAGAAATAGGGTTTAACGTCCACTTGACACAAACCAGGTTACTTTGGAACAAACATATGGTTCAATTTTATTTGAATTATTGGCTTGTGCATTGGGGTCTTTAGCAGTGGGAGGAAACCGGAGGACCTGGAGAAAACCCACAAGGTTTATTATGGTAAATACCAGTAAACAAATAGTTCTAAACATAGCCCTTATGCAAGATTTAGATACATGTAAAGAGCTGACCGTTCTTGCTATACTTGTCTAAAAATAGAATACTTTATTCTGTAAGAAGTTATAAATGTTTGAAGATGAAGTGCAGATCGTTTATTATCGTAGCAACAGTACATGTACTTGACAACCGAGACTAATTCTTGATAATCCATCTTATAATTAAATATTAAATTCTCGTGAGTTTAGAAATCCATTTAAATCTCGGTCATCAGATGGTCTAGAGTGTTGAATATAGACTTGTCATTTGAATAAAAGTCTAAATACTAACTTATATAAGATTTGAAGCCAGATAAAAGACCTGCAAATATTCAGATTTAGCTCTTACACAATGCATCTGTAAGTTACATGAACGAGCAAACATTCAGTATACAATATCAGCTTACCAATTTACTGAGTTTGGCTAAATGTTTAGGTAAACTGTCCAGCTGTGTATTAGATAATCTAAGCCATCTCAATCCTGACATCTCCTCAACCAAATCAGGAAAGGCATTGCCCTGAAATTTGATACAAATTATTGATTAATAACATTGCTAATTACATGAAATGAAATCGGGTTTAAAGTAGCTAAGTCTCTAACTCAATAACATCCAAAGTCTTCGACATCAAAAACACAAATTATTTGTCAATTTAAATCAACATTGATGTTGTGATCTTAACTGGAAAAGATAGGCTTCTGATATCCAATATTTAAGACAAAATAAACATTTTACCATTGGTACATGAATGAGACTAGACATATTCTACAAGTCACGTCAAACGGTGACGTTATATTCTTATCTGGAGAGCAGGCGCAATAAAAACTATTGGTGTAGACTGGAATACCAGACGCTAGAGATAGCCATTCGATTGAGACTTATGGCGTATTTCGCCGAACATAACTGATTTTGATTTGAAATTAGAGTAAAAACAAAAACGATTGAATGTAAATCAGTTTATATATACATGTATGTTGAGTGCAGATTACCCTCCTCGGACAGATTACTCCCGTGCATGTGCGAATCTCCGATGAGTAATCTGCACGCGCGAAGTGAACTTTGTCCAGACTAAAATGGATAACCGCGATGATAATCTGCCTAATCTTACTCGGTATTCACTATGGATCAGTGCGTTAGTATTAGTCAATTTAATGATTACATTTTAATGAATTTTGTGACCGTCAGTTTACTGGTCGAGCAAATCGGAGCAAATCGATACGGAAAGAAAAGTGTCACCGCATTTGACTACCAGAAAAGAGGAAGTAGAAGAAGGGCTTTTGAGTTATAAAGCAGTTTCCGTCGAGAGGTCTCTGGTCTACATGACATACTTTGTGAACCTACATACGGGTCTCTAAGACCCTGTTACTAAAGTAACTACGATCGGTCAAACTATTATTACACTACAGCAAATATTTTTGACATTCAGTCACGTGGTCAGCACCGATTATGAGATACTGCTGACTAGAATTAAAAATCTTAATTTCTAAGCACACACGCTAATTATGCAGTGATTTTGAAAATTATTTCACTACAAAGACCACAAGAGGCAGGTCATATATAATATAATATATAGTTGCGTCTGACACAGATTGCAATCTGCGCGAGGGGTGAAGATTGCGTCTAACATATACATTCGTATTATATATGCATTGCAGCCCATTTGTGTTAATTTCTAGAGGTCGGCCAAATATTACTATAAATATTAGCGATATAGCTCCTCTGTTCTGCATGGACTGGGGTAATGAAGATGGACATACGCTAAATGGGAAAGTTTTTGTCCCATCCGAACGACTATATTTAGTCACTTGCCAGGTCCTCCGAATGAGGAACTAGTATCCTGCAGCCTGGGTTGTCAGACTCAGCTGACAAAAAAAGTTAGACCGATCTTCGTCTACTTCAAGTACTAATATCTCAGTCAGTGATAACACGATCGCCATTTATGTGGTATCAATCAACGCCTCGGACCCTCATACATTTGATTCAAACTATTATTAAATCAAAAAACCAACCTTAAAGTCATTTTTTGTTAAATCTATGCCCCGGACGAAAGGCAGCACTCCCGTCGACGCCATCTTGAAAAAGTTTGTAAACTAGAGTTGCCTCCCTTCTCCTGGACACACCCATGCAAATTAAACTTTGTAAACTAGAGCTGCGTCCGTTCTCCTGGAGTCTGGACACACCCATGCAAATTAAACTTGATCAGTGTAATAGAATTTAGAGAGTGACCAGATGCCAGTGCCGGATTAAGGCTTTGCTGGCCCTAAGGCACATTTTGATTGCTGGCCTGAAAATACAGAATAACAATAACAGAAAATTTGTTACAAAAAAATTCAGAACCATTTGGTTTTTGACAGTAGCCTACTGTAATTACTATAAGATTACAGTACTCAGTAGCAAGATTACAACTTTTTTACTTTATTTTTTTTTATTTTTTATTTTTTTTTTTGTGGCCTGAATTTTTGGCTGGACCTAGGACACGTTATACCTTATTTTCCCTGTGTTGACAAATCCGAAATAAAGACATTTTAGCCCATGTTCCTATTTCTTCTTCTTTTTGCATAAGAAATAAAAGTACTAATAAAAAATTACATATTATCATATCAACTTAAATTATGAAGACATTTTTTTCTATTGCACGTAAAAGATCCCTTGGCAGTTGGAATTCGACATAAGAGTAGGCGATAGTGCCGCTGCCCGGGCAAAATTTCCCTCATAGCACACTGTATGGCGTATGCCCGTCTTCATTAGCCCACCATAGAAGCAGAACAGTAGGACGTTAAACTCCATTTCATTTCATTTCATTTCTATTGTGCTGTTAACGGCTTACTAATACAAAGCAAATAGAAATACGTTATATTTTCCATTTTAATGTATACATATAAGTACCGTAATAAATGTAACGTGCACACCTTGAAAGAAATTACAACCAGATCTTGAGTTTCATGTTCGAACCACATAAATAAATGGTTTGGATATACCGGTCCTCCAAATAACACGTATCTTCAATATACCTGATTCCCCGGTTATATGTGGCAAGATGTAGGGTCGCCCGTCCAACCTCGTGGGTTTTCTCCGGGTCCTCCGGTTTTCTCCCACTGCTAAATAGGGACTACCCCTACGCGCGAGCCATAATATGTTAGTCCATAATATGTTGAACCATAATATGTTAGTCCCGAAATGACCTAGTTTGTGTCAAGTGAACGTTAAACACACTCTCTCTCTCTCTCTCTCTCTCTCTTTTCCTCTCTCTCGCACTCTCACTCTCTCTCTCTGAGCCTACCTGGGCCTACCCTGTTGTGGGAGAAGAAATAACTACATAGGCCGGGCCTACCAGCCAAAAAACCCCAGGGGAGAGTACCGGTATGTTGTAATGTAAGTCTTTAAAGGGACAATAACACTCTTGACAGCGCCAGAAAATAAAAAATAGCCTTATTCTAAATACTAGTGTTTTACCTGTTGTGTAAATTATCCATTAAATCCTATTTTACTTGTCCAGAGGGTTCAAAAATATTTTTAAATCCAAGTCACATTTAAAAAGCTTTACGTCAGGCTTTTCAAAACATTTAGTTGAATTTTTCCAATTTTTTAAATTAGGTGTGTTAAGATGAATTTTGTATCATCAATTAATTGGAATTAAATAGTACAATTTGTTGACCAGAATAAAGATTGGGACATATTCAGTTACAACAATAGTGGTATTGAGTCTTTAATTTAAACATATTTTAAACACTTGAAAATATCGCTTTAGCAAATTCTATTCACTGAAATTAATTTGAGATGGCCTCTTACTTAAAACAGGAAGTTATCACAATACTATTTTTAATAACAATACAACTCGACATTTTAATTAAAGGTCAAGTATAATTAAATACATCCGGAGTCAAAATATATAGTCAAACATTCCTAACACACTTTCGTGAAGCATGAATGATAATATTTATCGTTCCCATCATAGACCAAATTCTGGTATCTATCCACCTCTGACATCACAGATTCTGAAATGGCCCAATAAAATTTGATTTTGGTTCAGTCCTTTTTTACACTCAAAATAACGTCTTATTTTTCAATGTTAAAGATGCATTATGTAAGGTTGAGAGAAAGAGAGAGAGAGAGAGAGAATTTGGAGTTTGGCGTCCGCTTGACACAAACTAGGTAATTTCAGGACTAACATATGGTTCCATTTTATTTCAATAATTCACTTGCGCGTAGGGGTCTTTAACAGTGGGAGGAAACCGTAGGACCAGGAGAAAACCACGAGAAAACCCACGAGGTTGGACAGGCCAACCCTACTCCTTGTCTTGTCACATACAACCGGGGAATCGAAACCACGTAAGTTGACTCAATGACAGACATTATGATACAACGCGTGCGCGCTAACCATCCGGCCACCCACCCCCCGTTTAGATAAAGAGCTGTCCGTTTTTGCTATAATAGTTCAAAAACAGATAATGAAAAATGAATATACTTTATTTTGAACGAAGTTATTAGTGTTTGGAGTTTTGACAAAGTAGCCAGTTGTCAATTGCAATGATAATAAGCGAAGTCTCGATTGTTGGCCCTTTAATGAGTGACGTCATTTTAACGTTCGTTAACCGATTATGGTCTAATTCATTCAGTATCTTAGCCATCCGGTGGGGAGTTGATTATGGGCCGGTTAAGTGAATAAATGTCTGAAACAAAATTTATATAACATTTGAAGCCAAACAGAGAAATGGGGTTTAACGTCCACTCGACACAAACTAGGTCATTTCGGGACTAACATATGGTTTAATGTTATTTCAATAACTCGCTTGCGCGTAGGGGTTTAGAAGTGGGAGGAAACCGGAGGGCCCGGAGAAAACCCACGAGGTTGGACGGGCGACCCTACATCTTGCCACATATAACCGGGGAATCAGGTATAATGAAGATACATGTTATTTGGAGGACCGGTATATCCAAACCATTTATTTATGTAGTTCGAACATGAAACTCAAGATCTGGTTGTAATTTCTTTCAAGGTGTGCACGTTACATTTATTACGGTACTTATATGTATACATTAAAATGGAAAATAACGTATTTCTATTTGCTTTGTATTAGTAAGCCGTTAACAGCACAATAGAAATGAAATGAAATGAAATGGAGTTTAACGTCCTACTGTTCTGCTTCTATGGTGGGCTAATAAAGACGGGCATACGCCATACAGTGTGCTATGAGGGAAATTTTGCCCGGGCAGCGGCACTATCGCCTACTCTTATGTCGAATTCCAACTGCCAAGGGATCTTTTACGTGCATTCCACAGTCCAATAGAAAAAAAAACTATTAGTTGAAATGTCTTCATAATTTAAGTTGATATGATAATATGTAATTTTTTATTAGTACTTTTATTTCTTATGCAAAAAGAAGAAGAAATAAGAACATGGGGTAAAATGTCTTTATTTCGGATTTGTCAACACAGGGAAAATAAGGTATAACGTATCCTAGGTCCAGCCAAAAATTCAGGCCACAAAATAAAAAAAAAAAAAAATAAAAAAAAATAAAGTAAAAAAGTTGTAATCTTGCTACTGAGTACTGTAATCTTATAGTAATTACAGTAGGCTACTGTCAAAAACCAAATGGTTCTGAATTTTTTTGTAACAAATTTTCTGTTATTGTTATTCTGTATTTTCAGGCCAGCAATCAAAATGTGCCTTAGGGCCAGCAAAGCCTTAATCCGGCACTGGCATCTGGCCACTCTCTAAATTCTATTACAATGATCAAGTTTAATTTGCATGGGTGTGTCCAGACTCCAGGAGAACGGACGCAGCTCTAGTTTACAAAGTTCAATTTGCATGGGTGTGTCCAGGAGAAGGGAAGCAACTCTAGTTTACAAACTTTTTCAAGATGGCGTCGACGGGAGTGCTGTCTTTCGTCCGGGGCATAGATTTAACAAAAAATGACTTTAAGGTTGGTTTTTTGATTTAATAATAGTTTGTATTGTCACGTACAACCGGGGATTCGAAACCACGCCAGTTGACTCAATGACAGGTCGTATGATACAGCACGCACGTGCTAACCATTCGGTCATCCCCTCCCCTCCCCCCCCCCCCCCTCGAAGCCAAACAAGACCTGGAATAGGTAGATAAACCACTGCATAATGCATCTGTAAACTATGAAGGAAAAAAAGCGACGTAGACTTTATAACACGACGTTGCTCATCAAAACGCATCTTCAATAGAAGGCTTGATCTTGCTTTAACTAGATGTTGTAAACCTCGCAGTCGTTGCTTCAGGAACATGATCAAAACGCGATGTGTCGACCTCAGCATCGCCTTTTATACATTATATTTGATTGATAAATTGACTTTAGTATTTTACTTTTTTCATATTTTTCTTCTGCTTTTCATAAACATTTCTTTTAAAGAAACATTATGGAAGATTAGATAAAGTGCTGGTAGTTCTCACTATAATAGATAATGTAAAGGGTATATGCTGAAAATGTCAGCCAAATTACTTCACTCGGAGCCGAGAAAACCTCATTTTAAAATCACTGTAGCCTCGATTGTCATTGTTACCACTGTCACGATAATTAACATAGTCTCTATTATCCACTTTTGCGGTTAATCATCACTGGGCATTGAACAGCAGATCGGATCCTATGCTGGGCTAATGAAGACGGGCATACGCCATACAGTGTGCTATGAGGGAAATTTTGCCCGGGCAGCGGCACTATCGCCTACTCTTATATCGAATTCCAACTGCCAAGGGATCTTTTACGTGCATTCCAATGTATACACGGGACCTCGGTTTTTGGTCTCATCCGAAGGACTAGACAGCTGTCCTTGTCAGGCCCTTCGTCCTGCATCACTGACAAGGAACAAAATACCACAGTTCAATTCAGTTTTTGAATGTAATAGTTCATAGATGATGACTTATTATTATAGTACGTATATCGGGGAACTCCCGAAGTCAGTCTTAATACCATAGTTCAATACAGTTTTTGTATGCAATAATTCATAGATGACCTAATAACATATCTTTAAGAAATAGTTCATGTTTAACCACGCGACTCCTCGAATGAAACCGGAAACCACTTGTGTAACTTTATAAGCGTGATTCCCGTGGTTCCCTGTTATAATTGTCACGACA